AAAGTCACAAGGCACATGAAATGCAGCAAACAGTACATGTGGAGCAGAAGTTGAAAAGAGCTTGCAAGATTAAGGCTGACAAGGATATGTCTGATGGGATAGGAAAATGTAAGCAAAGGATAGATTACTGTAACTGTCCTTTTAAAATTCAGATTTACAATTTCCGTTTATTACTCATGAAGTTAAATTGACATAAGAAGGATTTACCAAGTAAATAAAACACAACTGAAATAAAAAAAAAAAACAGAGATCAAAACATTGGCAAAAAGTGAAAATAAAAAGCAGTCCACCTTGAGAATGTATGCAGATAATTATATTCCATTTATAATAATCTTTATTTTGTGTCAAAACTTGTGAGAAAAGATATGTAATAATTCATTTATTTTAACAATCCTACAGGATCAACATTATTATTTTTTAAATATATTTTATTGACTTTTTTTACAGAGAGGAAGGGAGAGAGATAGAGAGCTAGAAATGTCAATGAGAGAGGAACATCGACCAGCTGCCTTCTGCACAACCCCTACCGGGGATGTGCCCGCAACCAATGTACATGCCCTTAACCGGAATCGAACCTGGGACCTTTCAGTCCGCAGACCGATGCTCTACCACTGAGCCAAACTGATCTCGGCAGGATCAACATTATTATACCATTTAAAATGAGAAAGTTTGAGGCTAAACAAAGGTTAAGTAATTTGCTTGAGATAACAAACATATCTATTGTATATAGAATCAATATTCTATAGAGGTCTTTCTGATTCTAAGATGGGGTTATCACTATGCTATATGCATGCCAGTGAGACCTCACAGACCTGTACTATTAAAGGTAACAGTTATGGGAACACCTCTTAGATGTCTGCTTCAGAAAATGTCCCTAAGGATTACCTAATACAGCAGAGGTAAACTATACTTCTACTAAGCATTTCCATGTTATCTTATGTTTCCAAAGTTAAAATTTGTTTAATTCACATGTCAATAAACATAAAGAAGGAAGTCCCAGAAGATTTATAACTTAATAGATAGGATAATGTACAAATTTAAATAAATTTATCTTTTTTTTTTAAACTATGTAAAAAGGAGGAAACCTTTCTTTGCCTCCACAAAACTATTGTTAGAGACAAAGACAGGGAAATCTGTGAGTGTCTGTATGCACAATTTCTTTAAAGCATGTTCCCCTGCTGACTACTACTAGCATCATAAACTCCATAAACCATATCAAGAGAGTCATAAAATGCCTAGATCATGGAAATAATATTGTTAAAGCTAGGAAACCTTGGGGATGGATTTAAATGCTATACAAGTTAATTTTGTATTTTCCCCCTTACTATTATACTTGTGACACATCAGTCACACAAGAGTGCAGGGAGCTAGGATGCATATAAAGCAACATATGGATAAATCATTCCTTTCAGCAAGAAAAGAAAGCTATATACATATGCACGATAAAAACAATGAAAAGTACAAGTAATGTAGATTCTATGTGTGAGTAGTGGGCTGTTTTATCTTATCATCTGTAAATTAGACTCTGAAGTATCTATATGAAGAAACAAACTGGAGGTGGTTTCTCATATTATTGATGCGTGCATATGAGAAGTTAATGCTTTTTTTCCACCTTCAGTTTTTGAAAGACACAATTAAAGTACATTACATATGCAATTTGAGGAAACTTCAGCACAACAGAAAGGAGGAACAGAAATACTCTTCTACTTGGAATAATTATGCAAACTACTATATCTCCAGCACATCTATCTAGCTTTCCCAATAGAAGTCTATCAGGAATCATCATTTTGAACTACAAGTAACATCCAGGCATGAACTAGGAACCAAAGATCACATGCTTAGGATAAAAGCACAATGAGATAATATGTGGATGTATAAGAACCCTCTAACTTCATTAAAAAATTATATGACTATTTCAGACTGTTAAATACTTTGAGAAACTAAGAAATAAAAAGAAATATTGTGAATTGTAACTAAAAATGTACATGTTAATTTATAAGAAAACAGGCAAGTGACAGACAAAAAATATAAAAGAGCCAAGGAAACATAAGTACATTTACCAGCAACTATAGCTCTTAGTTGATGTAATATACAAAACATCATAAAATTAAAACATCTACAAGTGGAGAGGGTAAAAGGAAATGTATATTTAAGAATAATATGTTCTCCTGTTTTATTCCACTTCCAAAGAAATAATGTTGCTCCCATTTTTCCTATTATAAGAATAATAGAGTAAAATAGTGAGAAAAGTAAAGAGCAAATAAGACAAATGTGTTTCTATGATCATAAAATTATTACACAGCACTTACTATGTACTTAAGCACATAAATCTTCTGCCACATAATCTTTCTATGTTATATAGATATAAAAATAAAATGATGAATGAGACCTGAGAAGTGAAAAGTTGGGAGTGAAGGGAGCAAATAGCATCAATCTAGCTGAAAAATTCTCAGTATAAAATTATGAAAAATAAGGTCTAGTTGACAAATTTAATGCAACAACTTTAAATTGTTCTATAAAACAACAATAGTATCTCTTTTAAATTATTCTTATGAAGTCAACTTAACATGTTTTGGAATTGACATGTATAGTCACAAAACAAAAAAGCAAGCATTTAAACAACATCTCTGAGTAACCTACTTCCAAATTTTACACATCTTTTAATAGAGGAGTTAGGTAGATTTATTGGTATAAGCTATTTTATAAAATGAAATCCTATTTAATTTATATTTAATCAATTAAAAGTCTATAAATAGGTAGTAATTTTCATAGATATTGCCTAATGCCAGCAGCCCACCTCAAAATTAAATGTTACATAACTTACTCATTTTTCAGAATCAATATCGTGAGCGGACACACTAAAAAATACCACCAAAATATAATAGCTACAATTCTATTGTAAAAGAGACCACAATATATGTAGCATTATTTTTACACTCTACACTATTAACATTGTTAAGTTCATAAAAAAGTACAAGAAACATTATTTTCCCTAATATCTCTAAAACAATGATAAAGACAATTTTAAGTATTAAGATTACTGGGTTCTGAGGAGCAACTATGAATTGCGTATTTCCAATTACTACAGTAATGAGCTTTTGGTATATCATTGAAGTAAATGAAAATGAAGTAAAATATTTACAATGGTAACATTACAAAAAGTCATTTCACAAAATCATAAATAAAACCCACATGACTTCTATGTGGTATACTAAAAATAGCCTTACACTCTAATAATGCAAGCTTATATACAAAATACCAAAATAATGACTTTTAGATGCCATAAGTATGTGCACCTATTATTAGGGTGACCAAAATAGTCTAAAGGATAAATGATACTATAAGCAGCATTTGCAAGAGTATTTACTTGTCCATACTACACCTATTTCAGAAATTATTTAAAGTGACTTTGGCTTCCAAGAACAATTATTCTGTGTCCTAAATTTATTAATAAACAAATTCAATGTTCAATTGATCTAAACTGCACTGTATAGCAACACCTAACCAAGTTATTACCACGTAAATGACTTTGGGAAACAAGACCTATGCCCTCTATTTGGATTACACACTGATAAATTTTACAACCTTATTGTGAGCACATCAGTACAGTATCTCTACATAACCTTAGCTAAAAACGTTGGTTTTTTTTTTTAAATCACCAGTTAAACGTTATGTAGAGTTAAACATTAATTTAATTTACAGCCAAAAGTGTTCAGGGTCATCTTGACAATATAAGTTGTGTGGGGTTTTTTTGTTTTTTTTTTAAACACAATTGTTTTTTCCTTTTTCACAAATATCTGGCCAATGGTTACTAATCAGATAACTTCTTTACAAATGAAGTTTTATTCCACATTCCTGAAATAGCACCGACTCTTCAACTACTCCAACTAATGCAGAAGCCCTAGAACATACCCGCATTGTACATGGCACCAGCTTATCTTGAAGAACGCTCAGACCTGCCTGCCTTCAATCCATTTCCTTCTTTAGGAGACTGTCAACTTTAACAATGGAATGCACCATATAATATCAAGGCACAGATTCTGAATCCCAGCACATATGCGAGTCCACTTCCTTTACAGATTTTGTTTTTCCTGTCTGAACTTTTTATTTTTTATATTAAATATTTGGGGTGACACTGGTTAATGAGATTCCTTGACAGATTTTTCAGAGTTTCTGAACGACAGCCCCAAACCACTAAGCTTGTGGCTGTCCTTGGTGCTGAAACTCATTCTTTTTCTGCTCTTTCACTGAAAACAAACAACAACCCTACCCCCCTCACCTCCACCCCAAAAACCCCGTGGTCCCAATCCCATTTAGAGAGGATAAAAATAATTCTAAATTGTGTGTATTGGGGATGGGGGTTGGGAGGAGGGCGCGAGACGGGGGGATGATGGCCGAAGATGGGAGGGTTTTTAAAAGGAACTGATCTAAGTTCCTGGGCAGAAAATGCCAACTAGTGTGAGGTGGGGGGGCGGGGGCGGGGGTTGCTGGAGACTCTAGAGGGCATCTCCCTTTGGGTGCCAGGAGACCCAGGAAAACCGGGACTGCGGCAAAGATCCGAGTCGCGGTTGGTTCGACCCGGGCGGGTGCTGCGGACGGGCGGGAGCGGCGCGCCGGCCGGGCAGCTCCTCGCCGGGGCCGTTGGGCGAGGACAGCGAGGGGCCGCCGCCGCCTTCCCGGTGCCAAACGCGCCAGCCCCTGTGCTATTGTTTCTGGGTGGGGGTCCGAGGGGAGGGCGGCAGGGCTGAGGGGAACCCCCTTCCCCGCCACCTGCATGTATGTGTACAGAGGGGACAACAAAAGACCTTGCCGCCCGCCCGCCCGAGTGGGCAGGGTCCGCGGAACCCGACCGGCCGCGGAGCACGGGCGCGCGCGAGGGCTCGGCTCCTCTCTCCACGGTCCCGGCGGCCGCTCTTACCGTCCCGGTCGCACAGCTGGATGGCCTCCAGGCTGAGGTTTTTGATCACCTCCTCACAGGGGCTGGTGGGGCTGTTGAGGGCATGATCCAGGCGCGGCACCTCCATTTTCCGAACCCCCTTCTCCTCGAGTCCGCCTGCCTCGCAGCCAGGCTCTCTCCCCGCGGACCGGGTGGGAGCGAAGGGCGGGAAAGGGAAGGGTTCGGGGGGGTGGGCGGAGGAAGGAAGGAGGCGAGGACCGCGGTGGTCCAGGCGCGGGGATCGAGGCTGGAAGACACGGAGGCTAGACAGCGGCTGTGGCAGGAGCTCCGCGGGGAGGGTGCGCCTCCGGGAGAGACCGAGAGGGACCTGGCGCGAGGGCGGGAGGCGCGCGCGCTCCTGGCGGGGAGGGAGGGGACGCGGAGCGCCCGGAACGTGCGGGAGGAGGCGCGGCGCGGCGCGCGCACGCTCGCGAGAGGAGGACGCGCCCACCTGCCGGCGCGAGGCGCCCGCCCTCCCCGCGCGCGCGCGCGCGCACGCGCCCCCGGCTGCCCTCGCGCCGCGGGCCCCGTAACCCCGCGAGCGAGGCGTCGGACGGCGGAGCGCGCGGGAACGGCGGGCGGCCGGGGTGCCGCGTGCGCGCTCACCTGGCGCTGGCTCCCGGCGAGGGCGACCTGGCGTCCTTTCCCCACCCGGCAGTGTCCCTGGGAGCCCAGGTTGGCACTGCGGCTGGCGTTTCTGCACGGGGAGGTGAGGGTGGGCAGGTTGGTTGTCAAGGGTTGGGGAAAAAAAAATAAGGCGAGTCTAGCTAGACCCTTTGTATTGGGCGCTTTGGAACCAGCGGGCTACTGCCTTCGCAGGCTCAAGGTCTCGGGCTGCTCGATGCCCAAATCTTGCTTGTCCAGCTGCTCCTTCTGGACAGCTTCGCCAGTTCGGGGAAAGAGTGGGTTATTTGAGGAGTGGGCACGGTTTAGGGACAGAGCCAGTTCTCCTCCCTGCCTCCCTCCCTTCTCTGAAATTTTAGGAAATGTGCTTCTTCGGGGCTGCCCATTGTTGTCAGTAACAGTTGAGAGTGTGCAATGCACTTAGTGAAGGTTACAAATGCTTTAAAAGTTACATAGTTGCAGTTCCCAGCATGCTGACCTCTGTTACCGTTTTTTGCTTCTTTGGGGTAGTTTTTAGTTGTGTTGCTATCTCAGGATCAAAAAAACAAAAACAAAAACAAAATTGTGACCTCCCTCTCCTCTGTGGTGTGTATTTGTGTTTGACATTAAGGTTCCTTTTTTTTTTAATTGATTTTCCAATTTCAAAAATGTCTAACCCGTAAAGTAACAATTTACATATAGATTGCTATATGCCATCTTTTCTAGCCACATCCGTTTAGTCATAACATAACTAAATATAGTTAATGGAAGTCTCATAAAACAGAAGAACCAGCTCAGGCAATCAGCCCGAGAGAAAACTTGCCACAACTGCAAGTTGTTAAAAACAAACAAACCCGTGGAAGATAATTGGTTTCTTAAAGAGAAGTGTCCTCGTTATGAACTTAGGTGTGAGTGAAGATGGATCTCCTTTTTGTAGTTTTATAAGGTGGGGGTGTCCACCAGGAGAGGATGAACGGTTCTTGTCAAGCAATCTGACAAGATGGCACTTACTGGTGAGCTCCTTGTGTTCTATAATGCCTGGCTCTGGAGGACTTGACATCGATACTGCCAACCCAATCACAGCGGGTTCATCTTCCAGAATACTAGTATCAATTTTACAAATCTCAGAGAGAGCTAGGTTATCAGTTGATTGACTTAGAGCCGAAAACTATTCATTCCTGCTTATAATTAAACTGCAACACAAACAGATATTTATTCATCACCTGCTATGTCCACAAAAGATATATTAGATATTGGAAATTTTGAGTTCAAGTCTATCACAAAAGGCAGACATTGAAACAAACAAGAGTAAGATGGGTGTTATGAACCCTGGCTGGTGTTCCTCAGTGGTTAGAGTGTGGACCCAGGCACCGAAGGGTCTCGGGTTCGATTTCTGGACAAGGGCACGTACCTGGGTTGCAGGTTTGATCCCCTGCGGCAGGTGCGGACAGCAACCAATCGATGTGTCTCTCTCACACTCATGTTTCTCTCTCTCTTCCCCTTTCTTCCCTACCTTTTTTTTTAAAAAAAATTTTTAAAATATGGCCGGGACCAGTTTAGCTCAATGGATAGAGCGTCGGCTTGGGGACTGAAGGGACCCGGGTTCGATTCCTGTCAAGGGCATGTACCTTGGTTGCGGGCATATCCCCAGTAGGGGGTGTGCAAGAGGCAACTGATCGATGACTCTCTCTCATCGATGTTTCTAACTATCTATCTCTCTCCCTTCCTCTCTGTACAAAATCAATAATAAAAAATAAAATAAAATAAATAAAATTTTAAAATATGTTTTATTGATTTTACACTGAGAGCAATTGAAAGGGAAAGAGAGTTAGAAACGTTGATGAGAGAGATACATCACCAGCTGCTCTTGCACCCCCCTCCACCCCTACTGGGAATGTGCCCGCAACCAAGGTATGTGCCCTTGACTGGAATCGAACCTGGGACCTTTCACTCCGCAGGCCAGGCCGACGCTCTATCCACAGCCAAACCGGTTTCGACCTTTCACATTCTCTAAAAAAATCAATAGAAAAAATATCCTTTGATGGGTGAGGACTAACAACCACAAAACATAGATGGGTATTATGAGAGCTTGTAGAAGCACACAAATGGGTCCTAATCTAGTCTGGTTAGTCTGGTTAGTCATGAAAAGGGTTTTATTTTAAGAGAATGGGAAATTATTGAAAGTCTTTAAATGGCAAGCTCACATGATTAGGTCCTTAGGCCAGAATATTTTTGTAATGGGAGCAGGAGGTAATGTTTTGGGAAACATTAATGTGACTTTCTGGGCAGAAGACCTATTTAATCCAAAGCACCTTTTTGCTGAGGATTTAGATCACATAAGAATGAGTTAATATTTGACTTCCAACATTTAATACAGGATTGTTTAGCAAGTTGTTAGACTTCAAATCGAGACAGCGTCAAGAGACTTGTGAATGCCAAATGAGATAATACATATGAAAATGTTGTATGAACTGTAAAGCGCCTCAAAAGTTAGGGTATTGTTATTATGGGACACTAGGAATGCCACTAAGAAAGCCTATCTGGTCAATTTTACACCAGAAATTTCTGGAAATATTTTAGTACCTATATAGCTAACTTAAAAGAACTCCTATATTTAGAATATTTTCATAGTTTAGTGCAGTGATTTCTCAACCTTTTTACTTCATAGATGGGTATTATGAGAACTTGTGGAAGCACACATGGTTCCTAACCTAGTCTGATTACCAAAGTTCTGCAGCACACCAATATAGATATTATATATTTTTGCTGATCTGACAAAAAAGTATAATTTTGATTCATTCACACCAGATGATATTATTGTGTTGGTTGTTGTCACTGATTTTTTTTGTGTCTGTGGGTTTTTTGTTTGTTTGTTTTTTGACAGTCTAAGGGGAAAAAAGTTGAAAATCGCTGGCTTTAGTGTGTAGGGCCCTTTAAAATTACATCAGCTTATGTTTGCTTTGATTTTATCTCAGTAGTTAAGTTTTGCCATGCTCATAAGCAAATACTCAATAATGAATTTCTCCCCAATATTTGATTCCTACATTCCTAATTCTATATCATCACATGATGGGAGATGGTGGAGACCTAGGATGACTTGATCCATTACAAGTTCATGCTGTCAAAATTCATCGTGCTTGTTATTTAAATGGCTGTTGCAGACTTGTCTCTTTGAAAACCCCTGCTCCATACTCAATTTCAAAAGATGATCTCACCTCTCTTTCCTTGGGGAAAAAAGTGAAGACAAGGTGATATTTCTAATTTGTTGTTGCTTTTAGCTCAGTGGGTCCTGGAAAACTTGCTACATTTTCTTCCATCATATGTTCTCTCCATTCAGTGTACTGCAGAATAGAATTATAGCTTCCTATTTTTACCCCCTCCAGCTGCATCAGTCATCAGTCTTCTTTTCCTTTTCCGCCTTTAAATATTGCCGAATCTCCTTAATTTTAAAAATTACCTTACTTGAACCAAACAGTCTTTATTCATTTTCTTAATGTTCTAAGGTATGTAAAGGGCCCATTATAAATTATGGTGTGCTATAAAAGTTATTCATTACCTCCATTTCCTTTTAATCCTCATACAATTTGTCATCTATCTTCACCACTTTGTTTCTTACCCTTCAAATGTCATCTTTAGATTTGATGAGATTTTTCATATCACCAAATATAAAGGCCTTTTATCACTTGCATCCTCTTTGATATTACAAGTTTATTTCTGCTGATCTTCTATAGCACTGAACTCTGCTGTATCTCTTCCTACCTGTGTGCTTAATGTTTACCAACTCTAGCTTCTAAGCTGCCCTCTCCAGTGCAAGGATTATTTAAAGTTCAACCTCTGACATTATGTTCTTCCCTGTTTAAAGTCATTTTTCTCTGATAATGCATGTATTCCCATGAATTTTAACGTCTTCTTAATGTTTAAATTCTCCCCATTATGGTCAAATCCCTATCTCAAGTCCCCAACTATAAACAAAGTCATTGCCCTATTTCAATTAATGAACAATATACATTCCCATAACCATTTCTAACTAATCTAGTATCCCTTCCCAAAATTGATTGCCTTTTCTAATTTCCCTCATTATAGCAACTGGCAGCAGTAGCAGTATCCTCTTAGTCCCTTAGTATCATGTAACTTAGATTTGTCTTTTCCTCTGTAAATCAAACTAGCTTCAAAACAATTAAAAAATTTCAATGTTTCTTGAATGTCTAATTCCCTCCCTGAAATTATACTGGTAAATAATACATTTAGGTTCTCAATAATCTCACCAGATTATTGAAGTTTTCAGGAATACAATCTTTCTACCTCACTTTTAAAGTCTATAATGTACTAAAATCAAATCTTAAAACACATTGTAATCAATAAATTACAATGGCTACTATTTTTGTTCTATGGTTAATGGTTAGCTACTAAAGCTTTTTAGGCAGGTATATGTTACTTGCAGTGCTATTAATCTGCCCATGTTTCATAGGTTGAATGAGATGGAGGAAAACAGGAGTTTAGGAGAGTATTGTAGCTCAGAAAAGTAATTATTATAAGGTATTTATAGACTAGGACAGTAGACTCCATTTAATTGGAATTTAACTTTCCTGACTGCATCCAAATGGGGCCTGTTCCAAGATCTAATGAGAAAAACTTCAGGGTGGATAGAGGCTTATTAAAGAGATTATTCAGTCAATAACATCTACTGAATGATGATTCAGTGCTATGTATGTATGCAGGTATGTATATCCTATATAATAAAGAGGTATTATGCAAATTGACCTTCATGCCCTCACACAAGATGGTCACCCCCGTGTTGTCAAAGTTGGCTGCCACAAGATGACCAACAGTGGAGGGTAGTTGTGGCGATCAGGCCAACAGGGGAGGGCAGTTAAGGGCAACAAAGCCTGCAGGGGTGGGCAGTGGGGGGCCATCAGATTGCTAGGGTCGGGCAGTTGGGGGCAATTGGACCAACAGGGGAGCAGTTAGGTATCAATCAAGCTGGTAGGAGAGTGGTTAGGGGGTGATCAGGCAGGCTGGCAGGCAGTCCCAGATTGTGACAGGGGATGTGGGACTGCCGGTTTAGGCCCAATCTCACAGGCAGTCACACTTCCCCCAAGAGGTCCCAGATTG